GCGGTCCAAAGTCCTCATTCTGCTTATGTTCAGTCCTGCTCAGCCACCGATCGGCAGTGCGTCCGACGCGCCCGGTGCCATCGCCGTTTGGACTCCCTGGCGACCACCGTGCAGCGTGTTCTCGGGCGGGTGTGTTGCGGAGTCGCGGGTGCGCTCTCGAACCGGGTGTGCCGTGAGGCTGGGGCCCGGGTGACCAACACCCGCTTGGCCGATCTCAACCTGGTGGTTGATCACGTCGATGACCGGCGCCTTGAGGTCATTGCGAATGGGTTGTCCTTGCATGGCGGTGCCCAGCTGGCTGTCGACACCACTTTGGTCTCGCCCCTAGACTCTGCGGGCCAACCCCGCCGCCGTGCGGGGCGAACGCGGGGCGCCGCTCTTGTTGAGGCGCGGTTGCGGAAGGAGCGTGTCTATCCCGAACTGCTGGGCATTCATTTGTCGACAGCTGTCAGGACCCCGACTTGGCAGCGGTGCGCCTCCCCATGGTCCTTCCCATGGCTGCTATGCCATGCGTCTAGAGACAACGGTTCGGATTAGATCTTTAGCGCTGGTAAGTTCTTACGTTATAAAGCATTCTTCTTCGGGAGGTGTTTTCGGTGATGGGGAGTGGCTCGTCCATGTCTTGGCTTCGGCCGTTGGGCTTGATCCTGAGGCTACAGTGCTTTCTGTGGATGGGGTTGGTGCCTTTGACAACGTGTCATGGCGGGCCATGCTGGAGGCGCTGCGCGCCGTTCCCGGGGCGAACCGCTGTCTCCCGTTCGTCCGTTTGTTCTACGCCTCTGCGTCTGAGTTCGTGTGGCATGACTCTGAAGGCACAGCCCATACCATGTCTCAGGCTGAGGGGGGGAGCAGGGAGACCCTTTGATGCCGGCCCTTTACTCCCTTGGCGTGCGGGACGCGCTTGCGGAAGTCCAAGCTGGTTTGGAGCCCAACGAGTTGCTGTTGGCCTACCTCGACGTTACCTCGACGATGTTTACATCGTCGCTCGGCCCGACCGCGTCCGCTTCCTTTGTGATCGCCTGTCTGAGACTTTGCGGCGCACTGCGTGCATCCGCCTGAACCATGGCAAGACGCGGGTCTGGAACGCTTCTGGCCGGGAGCCCCCTGGAATCTCCGCACTCGCTGTTGGGGAGGATCCTGTGTTTGTCGGATCGCCTGCCTCGGCCCCCACCCAGCAGGGTCTCCGCGTGCTCGGCGTGCCCGTTGGCTAGGGCAGCTCAGGTCCGCCAGCACGAGGGTCGCCGCGGCTGCAGCTCGCAAGGAGGGGGCATAGGCCTCAGGCAGGCTCAAGTGGGGCAGGACTGCACGAAGAAGCGAAGGCGTTTGCCTTTCCAGAAGGGGCAAGCTATCGGCCCAAGACGCCCAATACGCAGCAGGGGCGACGGCGGCCGCAGAACGTAGACCGAGACCACCAAGCCGAAGAGGCAACCTTGCAACGCCCAACGCTTGCGGGGGCAACGGGCCTGCCTGAAGCCGCGCGCCCCGATGATGCTGACAGCTTGTTTCTCAGCGGTGACGCAGCCCGTGGGTGGCAGCGGCATGCCACTGAGGCCCCGGAAGACCGTCTTTTCCAGGACCTGTCCCTGAACCTTGACCCCTCTGCGCTGGCGCTGTTGGAGTCGCAGCAGGGGCCCTTCGTCGGCCGTGTTCTGACCGCTCTCCCCACCAGCCCTGAGCTCACCGCCCCCTCGCACCTTTTCCGGATCGTCCTTCTTCGGCGCCTCCGGCTCCCACTCCCCATCACCGAATTGAAAACACCTGCCGGTGCCATCGCCGTTTGGACTCCCTTGGCAACCACTGTGCAGCGTGTTCTCGGGCGGGTGTGTTGCGGAGTCGCGGGTGCGCTCGCCGCCCGGGCTGGGGCCCGGGTGACTATCAACACCCGCTTGGCCGATGTCAACCTGGTGGTTGACCACGTCGATGACCGGCGCCTTGAGGTCATTGCGAATGGGTTGTCCTTGCATGGCGGTGCCCAGCTGGCTGTCGACACCACTTTGGTCTCGCCCCTAGACTCTGCGGGCCAACCCCGCCGCCGTGCGGGGCGAACGCCGGTTGCGGAAGGAGCGCGTCTATCCCGAACTGCTGCGGTCCAACCGTTGCCGGCTGGTCGTCCTCGCGCTCGAGGTCGGTGGCCGCTGGAGCGAGGAGGCCGTTGTTGCAGCTCTGGTCGCTCGTGGTCTGCTCTGCCCTCCTTTGCAGCCCAGCCTTCGTTTGCAAAGTTTTTACTGGAGGGGCAGGTCGCTGCTGGCCAGTCCAACTTCGGCGGGCCCTGCCCCGACTCGAGTGCGCTGCTTGCCGACTCCACTTGCCCGCCGAGCACCGGCACGCTGAGGCTTGGACTCATAATAATTGGCCCGCTGGGAGGGTGCCAATTTTCGGACTTGGCTTGCAGGTAGCCAAAAGGAAGCCATGGTGTGAATGTTGTTGGTCCCACATATGAACATCGCATGTCTTTTTGAACCCTCTTGTTGATCTTCTTGAAGGTGGAAGCCCTTTCTTCCACGGGCCTCCTGTCAACATGCGCCAAGGTAGCCTGCCCCTTCTGTCTTGGCGCCTCCCCAGCAAATCTGACCCTTGCCCCCTTCCCTTTATGCAGAGCACGATCTGATGTGTTTCCCCCGGGAAACCGGAAGGTTACGTTTCCTTTCTTGATGCAAAAAATACTTTGGCGTGTTCCTTGCAAGAACCTTGACGGTTTGAGGTTTGCCCCTTTCCTTTTCTATTCCTGAAGCTTCGGATTTTTGATGCAGGGCATAATCGATGTGTCCCGGGAAAATCTTAAGGTTTGGGGGTTTGCCCCCGTTAAGCCATGTGTCTGCCGGGAAACCCTTGAGGTCTGATGTTTGTTTGTTTCGTAGATGCAGAACAGGGAAGGGCTTTTCGGTCGGACACTTGCCCCCCTCACAAAGTGCGAGACAAAACCGGACACGTTCCAACGCGCTTTCCGGGAAACTTCCATGTCTCACGTTTGCTGCTATCAAAGGGATGCGAGAATCAAGTGATGTGTCCCCCCAACAACCTGAAGTCTTGACCCTTTTCCAGGTTGACAAAACCCGATGCCCCCCAAAGAAGACCTCAAGGTCTCATGTTTGCCTCCTTGCCCTCGACTTTCCTGACGTGCTGCAAGGTCTGAATTATGTTTGCAACTTTCCTTTGTTGCAGAACAGACTCTGGCGCACTCCTCAGGAAACCCGTTCTGATGTTTCCCCGCTACCCCCTGTTGCAGACCCGGGAAACCTTAAGGTTCAGTGTTTGCCCCCTTTCCTCCTGTGACGCAGGTGGCTGCGCCTGCGCATAGCGTCAAAGCGGATTGCGCTGCTCGGAGCAAGTTTTGCTAGGGCGCCCTCGCGTTTGACTTAAGGGAGCGGGACGGCCTTTTTGTGTCCGCGCATTTTGTTTAACACACGTCGGATTTTGCTTTGCATCATTGCGTCATGATCAAGAGTGGAGTAAGAAGGCAAATGGCTAGCAGATTCTCCCGGCAAGCACAAAAGGGATCGCTGTTGAGGGCGGCTGCCTACTCGTGCCCCCAAGCTTTCCGCAGAAGGGCTTAAGTCATCTGAGGGCTTGAGTGGGCCTTCCGCAAGGCGAATATTCGCGAGTGGATCTGCTAAAAAGCAGCAGCGCTTCTATTCTGGCGGGACATGCAGACTCAACGGACAAGAAGAGATGAATGCGCAACCCAAATTGGACTCCAGGAAAGACTTAGAGCTTGACGTTTGGAACAGAACACGGTGTGCGTGATTATTTGACGGCAGGTATCTTGCTAGCTACTTAACACATGTAGCCAAACCCTGAACTTCCTGGATGGGGAAAAGGAATTGCCACGTGACAAGTGAAAAGCCAAACTTGGAGTTGTGGAACGATTGAACGCCTCCTTACTCAGACGAATCATCGACGAACGGAAGCGCCCCTTCCTTGCTCATGGCTCTTTATTGCTGAAACTCTGCGAGGGTGCCAGCGCTTCGGAGCAAAAGCAAGTGTCTGGAATCGGAGGGCCAGGGCCTTGCGTGTGCCCATCTGAAGTACGGAGGGCACTTTTGACAAAGAGAACTCTCAGCCGTCAGGAACCCCGCCCTGCGCCTGCCCTCTGAAGGACGGGCCAAGCCCAGCACCTATTGACCAGCAGAAGCACTGGGCCCTCCATAGCCTCGGGCGCTCCAAAGCCTTTCTGGGCCCTTGCGGTCCAAAGTCCTCCGGCCGCTTACGTTGCCTCAATCCTACGTCGGCACAACCGTTCCATCGATTAGCACTCAACGCAAAACATAAATTGTTATGCTACGCGCATGTTCAAAAAGGAAAGCAAGCACACATGCTGAAGATCTAGGGCACGGTTTGGATGTACTACTCAAGGAATAACCAAAAGTTGCCAACAGGCAAAACAATCTACAAGAACACACACACACACATTCAAACTATGTTCTCGAGATGATGAGAATGATAACGATTTCCGATACTGCAGGCTCGCTGCGCCCACGTTCAAACGTATGCTCTCCGGAGCTACATTGCCAACCCTGACATAGTTGCATGCGCCGGATCTCTTACAAGCGCCGGTTTTTGTCGAACATCAGGGCCTGTTTGTCGAACATCAAGCACGTTTTTGTCGAAAATCGGGACCCTGTTTGTCAAAAGGTGGCCCCCTTTTTGTCGAACATCGGGCTTTGTATTTGTCGAAAATCGGGGCCCTGTTTGTCGAAGATCCGGGCCCGTTAATGTAGCCAAAATTTGCTAACATTTCAGGAATCGATCAAATGCACGTGTTATACACTAACGTTCGTTAATGTAGGCAAATAGGACCAACAAAGGATTGTCAGGGAGCTAATGAAGATGCCAGTGTGCAAATTGCGCGCGGCATGCCAGCTGTTTTGCTCAGTGGCAAATCTGAAGCAGAAGGTTGCTCATGCACAGTGCCTCGAGCTACAATTCAACAAAAACAGGCGCGACGCATTGAGCCGATGATTTGTTGTTGTGGATTTGCTGCCCGGGGCCCGCTGCCCGCCATGCCGCTGCGCACCGCTCTCACGGAAATGCTGGGCATTGAGCACCCAATCATCCAAGGAGGCGTGGCAATCAAAACGACGCAGCATGCATGTGTGTGTGTGTGTGGGTGTCTGAATTTGCGAAACACTGGTTGTGCAAGTGGCAGTCATGCCTTGAAGGGTTTTGATGAGATATTCCAATGAAGTGCGAAGACGAAGTTGCATGAGTCCTACGTTGGAGGCATGCAGTACGTTGGCTATGCCGAGATGGCCTCCGCTGTCTCCAATGCCACTCGGCCCTCCAGTGTGCACGTGCGTGCAAGCAGCGCTAGTGTCGACTTACTGGTGTTGCAGTTCTATTTTTACCGTTGCGCAACTTGTGGCACAAACAGTACCGCGTGGAAGGCTGGTGGCCTGGGCATCTTGACGGGCCTCACCCAGCCAGACCCCGAAGCATTGCGAGCAGCCGCTGTGCGCAAACTAGCCATGCTAGTTTGGCACATCGGCGCCTGTTGATGCAAACTATGGCCGATAACTTAAACTCGTGATGATGCGTTTGAGACGTTTTTGAGGCAACACCCAAAAGGCGCAGATTGCCTAGTGCAAAAACAAATCCCGTGGTTCCAGTACGTAGGCTGCACCATAATTACACTGTTGGATGTTCACCTTGCGCTTGCAGCGCGACATTCTGTGACATGTTTGCTGGGAGACGGACAGCAGTACACCTGTCCAGGCTTGTGACATGCTGGAAAAGTTTGCTGCTTTATTCACATGCATCACTTTTGTGGTCACGGCTGTAAAGTAGGTTGTAAATGTTGTCCAAAACATGTTGTCCCTGGTGCGCTGACGTGGCCATTTGTTCTGTTGGGGCGTGGCTTTGAGGACACATGTGCCTCTCAGGAGATACGGCGGTGCCGAACTATGACGGACAGTAGCTGCAGAGCGGTGATCGTTTTTCGACGAAGCCCCACTTGCAGAAGCAGCCACAAGATGTTGCAGCGGTACATTGTTGAGGGCCAGGCCAAAATCGGTCAGATTTCACTTTGCAAACTTTTTGCAGCTTCGAGAGCATGGCTTGCACTCATTGCCGCAGGACAAGCCGTTTGGTGTGAATCTGACGATCCTGCCTGCGCTTATTCCAGCGGTGTCATGGCTGACTGGCTGTCTAGATCGCTGGCTGGCTGAGGGTAGAACTATTTTGGCCCTGTTTGTTGCACATTTTCTGGTGTTGCTACAGGACATCCTGCGCAGACTGGCGCAACCGAGTTGAACTGACCTGTCCTTTTCGCGGTCAAGAAGTGCAGTCGGGCCAAAATCAGTCAAGGCGGCCATGCACTCAGGATTATGACGGTTACGCGCGGGTTCTGGCGGAAGAGAAGGCGGGCGTACGAATCGATTGTTCCGCAGGCAGCTTGCCTTGTCCTGGAAGTCCAAGGGCCTACCTCCTGGAAGTCCAAGGGGTCCGCAATTGCCATTGGTTTACTACATTCAACCGTTGCTTACTTTTCATTGCTTGCCATAGGGCACTGATTTGTGATGTTTGGTCAATAGGTTTCCTTCCAGAAGTTGAGGTGCATTCTGTCGGCACATGGGTTCTTTGGCTGCCTCAGCCAGGTGGCCCTTGTTGAGCTGGCAGCCGGTTCGCCAAAGAAGTACACCCCGATGTGGAAAGCGGCGGGCGCCCCGTTTGCGGCGCGCGTGCGCCCATTGCTACCCTTCCTTTGTGATCGGGTACGGACATGGCAGCAAGTTGGATCTGTGGCAGCGCCCGGAGCGCGCGGCCTTTCCGAAGGGTGGGGGCATTGGTTGAAGTGGCCGCATATTGGTGGTTGAACTAATGTTTGTCCAGTGCATGCGGTTCACAAAATACCCGGGCAAGGTCAGCGGACATACCGCCGTCGTGGCGTTGGGAGTGTCAAGTGTGACCCTTTGCCCATGGGCAACAACGAGGGGGTCGGTTGGCTGTAGGATCGCCCAGGCTGGCCTCAAGGTGTTGCACAAGTCCGCAACCATGCGCCATGCTCTGAAGGCGAGCGTGATCCAGGTAGCATGCCAAGAAAATGCCCACACAAAACAAACCCGATTTGTTTCGTGCAATTTCAGATGTTATCCACCTGCAGTTTTTTTTCCATAGCATCTCATTTGTTGATGCACTCGAAGTACTCACCCTTCCCCTGTTGAGTGTGGGTGCAACTATTGCTGACAGAATGAGGGGGCATTGGACCCAATCCAAGATGTTTCAATTCTTTGGAACTTAAAGCCCCGACACCGGCAAACCAGAACTTGCAGAGATCAATGCAGGATCCATAGTTGTATATGTTTTTCTCAATGATGTACGCTCCCAGTGTGGAACCAGCCACGTCACTTGATCAAGGTTCCACTTCGCGGCTTGCATTCATGCCAGGGTCTTTTTTGTTGGACCTGCAGCACGGACATTGCTTTTGTGTTGTTTGTTTGTTTTTTTGGTTGGGGGGGGGTCCAATTGATTTTCCCGAAAGTTTGCCTCGAAGAGGCTTTGCTTGGGGTTGTATCTAGGGGCGGGGTGGCAAGATTGGGCACAAAGGGGGCACGTGTTAGTGGTGCATGTTTGTTGCCAGCTTTTGATCCGCCTTTTACCCTTAATTCCAATCGATGAAATCAGTGTGAGTTGGCTACTCGTGCCATGCGCAAGGAACGCAAATTGATAGTCGACCATGCAACAAACGCGAACCTGCTGACCTGCTTCTTCATCAGCTGTGGATATGCTGAAGGTCTTCAACTTCTTACTTGCTTGGCAAGGCGCCAGCGACGGTCAATGGGAATGGGCACGCGTGTCAGGCCCAAGAGGCGGGGGTCGACCTCATTGAGATCGTGGGCTATGAAGGCGCGGGCGCACTGGCCCGATGATGCCATGCGGGTCTGGAGCGTGCCACTAAGGATCCTTTGGACTGGGAAAACAGGGGAGGGACGTCACATCTGAATTGTTGAGAAGGCCAACGCTGGTCACAGGCTTGCCTTTGATAGGTAGTTTGGGGCTTTTGCAAACATGGAATGACATACCCGGCACCGGTCCGAGCTGTCATGCACGCAAGGGAACCAACATGCAACCTGCCAGTGAGAATGATCTCAAGGCGCCCTTACTTGTTGATTACACACTGCCAATTGTTCATTTTCAGGCTCCTTATTCCATGTGATTTGTTTTGTCACTTGGCCCGATTGAAAGGTTCAGCAACACGACTGGGCCATACCTCCTAGCAAAGAGCGAGAGCCCTTGTAAAGTGTGTCACCCTCTTTTGGAAATCGCCGAAGCTGGGCAGTGCAAAGTACATCTTGGGTGGGCTGGCTAGCAAGCAAAGGTCAATGTTCAGCCCGCCAGGTTCCATTGCCGGCGGTCAGAAGGGAGACGAGGCGTACGCGAAAGTTGGATATTTGGCTGAAAACCAGTGGTATGACTGGGAAGCAAAGTGCCCAAAGTGCCATGACTAGCCCGATTAGCCCAAAGCGCCATGACTCGCCCCTTACATCGTGCACAATCCACGGGGCCCTCCGCTTGCTTCAGTTTCTTCTCTTTGTTGGGGGGGGAGGCTTGGGGTGTGAGGAGCATTGGCAAAGCTCGTGGTAGGTGAGCGCGGAAGGCGCAACTTTGCGAATCAATCATGCTTTAGTCGTCTCCTTTGATGACTTACAGTTGGGTGAAAGTTTGCTCCCACAATCAAGGAAGCTTGACAGGAGGTCTGTGTCCGCTTGCATTTTTGTTAGCAAGAGGGAAGGCTGCGCAATCTCGCCCCCAGTCAGTTTTGATCACCCCCTCCACTTGCCCTCGGAAGTGCCATACTTTCAGGGCAACTGCAAGCTGCGAGCCGTCCATTGGGCCGGATCATTCGCGATCGCCAGGTGGGTGCCTGGGTTCTGCTGGCCAAGGTGGGAGGGCCGAGGGCGCGATCGGCTGCGTGTTGCAACCAATGAGAGGGCTCCCTTGTCATGGAGCTAACGTGAATGTGACATGCCCCAATGTCTGGGGTGGGCCAATGTCTGGTCAGCTTTGTTCCCGCCATTGATCCAAGCTTTTGGCGGAGCTAGGATTTCAAGCCGCGTCTGCCAGCGGCCCATGTCTTCCGGCCGGGTCGGGGCTCGCGTCCGCCGCGTCCGCGAGTTCTCGGACACGCCCTTGGAGGCCACCAGCACCCTGAAAGTGCCGGTCATCGCTGCGGGCGCCGCAGGCGCCGTCCCCAATTGACCCGGCGGCAACAATTGTCTGCGTGGGACATCTGCCAAGGGATCTCAAAAATTTCCTTGGGGCACACAGCCCTAGGCTCGAAGTGTTCGAAGTTGCGGCTGAGGCTTTCCTCCACGTGAGCCGATTCATCCGTTTATTTTTGGGGCGGAGGCACGGGGCGCCAGCTCGCAGCAGCCTTGGCCATGGGCGCAGGGTGCCCGAGATTTCGAGGGGGAGGTGGGAGGCCGGAGATTCGGCCCGGAAGTTTGTATTTCGGTGCCCGGCTTCAACAGATCTTTGTCTGTAGATGTTTGGAACCCCTGCTTGGCGCTTGCGCGTTGGGGGAAGTATGGGTGTGATTCATGAACTTTGGGGAGGACGTCACATCCGAATGATTGAGAAGGTCAGTAGCAATTGGTGATTTGCTCAGCAAGCTCTTGGAAGTGAATAGGGGGCCTTTCCACAAGGTTTTTTTTTCAGAAATGAGGTCGCTGCCGGATTTTGAAATGGAGAAGGGTCAACGCTGGTCACATAATTTCATAGAGCTTGCTTTTGATAGGCCTTCTTCAAACCGGCCGTGGCCGGTCCAAGCTGTCAGGCATGCAATGGGTGGTGCAATCACAAACCTTGGCCCCCGTCTCGCCCCACCTGCACGCTCGTTGTTTTGTTGGCCCAGCCGGCAGGCACATGGCATCACCATGGCGACCCGGTTCCTGTGCACTGTCGAGGCAGGGCCCTGCCCAAAAGACACATGTGGGGCTCAGAGGATGCCATGTTTGGCACATCCAACTGATCCAAGGCCTCAACGTCAGTCGCCAGCGCCTGCTCTTTCGGAATCATTTATTTGGAGAAGATCCACCTACAGGAAACGCAAAGTGTCAGTTGAACTGCTTCGCATGGGGAGGTTCGCAACATTACCAAATTCAAACACACGTTTCGCAGTCCGTGGCAGAAGCGAGGGTTGCCTTTCTGACGCCCCGCGTCGCAGGCTCCGATTGACATCAAGATCAAGGACCGCCACACTCCAACATGAGCGCCCGGCATGCATGTGTTTCTCTTCTCCCTGGGGGCATGTTGAAGCCTGGCATGAACTTGCAGGAGACCATGGTTCGGCCGGAGAATGATGAAAGGCAGGGGTGAAGACACCAGTTATTAGGCACGTAGGCGCACATAGGTCCATGGATAACTGGCAGCAGATGTGGGTCCGATATTCCTCCCGAAGGCCGAGATAGCATGTTTTCCAAGGGCCCTCTGAGAGGTAGGGTGCTGTAGCCCTGTTTGGTGCCGCGGACTGGCATTGGGAAGGACGGTTGCATGAGCCCTAGTCATGCGCACGGGGCGAGGCTTGTGCAAGAACACGAGGCTTCGACAAAAGGGCCTTGGGGGCAGCAGCATTCAAGGGAATGCGTTCACACGTCAGAATAGCAAGCGGACGTTGAGAAACCCATGGCATGGCTCCCGGCAGCCAGCTCTCCAGGCAGACGACCATTGTGCTGGGCAGCTTGAGCAATGCCACCCGGGTCTTCAAGAACGAGGTCGCCCAGCAGATCCGGGACATCGAGGGTAAAGGCCCGGCCGGCAGTGGGCTTTTGCGCGACCTGGCAAGCAGATGCGGCTGCCCGGGTCCTTGGTGGTCCTCAGACAAAGGGGACCATGGGGCACATTGAATCTCACGGGGGAACAAAGTTCAATTGGACCGCGTGCACCAGTGTTTCGTTGTAGTTATCATTCTACTTTTTTTCTGGTGTCACAGTTAAAGAATAGCATCATACCACATCATACCTTTCACTCCGGGCTACCAACCAACACGGGGAGATGCTTGGTGATCCTCCCATTCCCGTGCCAGGAGATGTGGACTTCAGCCAAGTGATGCCTTTAGCCTCGGGTCAGCGGACGAAGAAGATGCCGCTCGGCCAGTTCATTGCCGTGGCTTGCTTTGTCAGAGAGCTGGGCCACTCCAACAACATGCCGTTTGGGAAATTTGTCGAGCTGCCTGCGGAACGACAATTCGTCCGCACGCTGTCCACAGCAAAATTCGCCGCATCTCTCCAAGCGGAGCTGCCAGGTGGCAGCAGTCTGGGGACACCTCCGACGCCATGTGGAGCTGCGGCCAGAGCTTGGGCCTGATCAGCCGGGCGCCCAGACCCAGTTTGTCCGCTTGCCTGGAGAAACCGGCGACGGATGGCTGTCGTAAGGTGACTCCAACCCTCAAACCTTCTTGGGTTGGTTACTTGGGGTGAACAAGTTTAACGAATTTGTTTGTGCGTGCGTGCGTGTGTGGCTGTGTGTGTGTGTGCGCAGTTGCTCACGTGTGCTGCTTAATCAGGCTTCCCTTGCGTGCACTAAAATAGATGGCTTCCCGTAAACCGTATTACCAGACAGTCCCAAGCAATAGCTGCACTAGGTTTCATGTTTCGGTCTTGTTGTGCTATGCTCTGTTGAAATGACCGGTTTAGAGCTGCTTTGAGGTGAGAGTTCCAATTGGCGGTTCAGATTGACAGCTGTTTCATGGGCCAAGGTGACATCCCCACCTGCCAGGAACTCGTGAGGCCAACCGGGTGGCTTAAGCAGGGTAACCCTCTTAGGAGACTTATACCCAAAGTCGGTTAGAAGCATAGGGTTGGGATGGCTCTAATGTTGTATGGACGCAGGATAACTTGTTTAGGCTTTAACTTGTTCAGATGCCTTTTTGGATGTTCCCTTTTTGCGCGCTTGTGTTTCCAAAGGCGCACCGAATGGAAGCCATCCACCTGGAATGGCAAGCATAGGCAGTGAGCCCATAGCAAAAATAGGTTTTGAGCCGTGGTTCTCGAAAGCAAGATTCGATTCCTTGGTTTGCAAGGCTCTCCCGAAGCCACAAGGGTTATGCTCGTTTGTCCAGACCACTTGCTTACCCAGCAAGGCTTGACGTTGATGACTGTGACGAACTAATATCTATTTTGCGCAAGTTCTGGTGAGCTAAGAGGCAATGGTATACGTATGTTTGTTCAGTTTCTACTTGGTGAGTTGCAGCAAACAGGAATTTGCATGCTTCCCGATTGTTTTCCATGCAGCAAAGAGCGTCTATTTTGTAGAGCAGCATCCTTTCGTGGATACTGTGGATTGACAGACAGAATCCTGCAGCAGATGAAGCCCTCCATGAAAACTGGCAGAAACCACCCGCCAACTGGTGGAGGGTGCTAGGCAGAAACCCTTCGCAGAGGCGCATATTTCAGCTGGTTGGAACAAATCGATGGATTCCGCTGGTTCCAGTTTGGATCTGATTTGCTGGTGCCACATTTTGCCAGGCGCATCGTCCAGGAGGCGGAGGAACGTTTGCAGAGCAGCGCGCGGATGATGTCCAAGCTCTGAGGCGTTTTTTGGAAGCGAGGGTCCGGCGCTTCTTGCGCCTGGCACTTTTTGCGCAGATGTGCAGGAAGTGCATACATATTTCGGGCCCTTCTCGTGCTCGTTTGATAGTTTTGGGTGGGCTAAATACGAAACAGGCGCAGAACATTGGCATCTCATTTTTGGTGTACTGCCAGGGTTGGGCCAACATCTTGGCAGTTTTGCCTGTGAAAAACGCAAGAGGAGCTTCCGCTGAGGTTGGAGGGTTTGGCAGCAAGCCCTTTTTACATGAGGATTATCAATTCTATTCAATTTTGATGTTCTTTGTCAATTGCAAACCGCATCCGCCCACCAATCCACCCGGGGAACCAAGGCAGTTCGAAAGCCGGGGATGCGTTTCCTGCCATTTTGCTGAACTGCAACTGCCTGTCAGTCGGGCATGTCCTGTCAGGGACACTGGACGTCATGGTGCCGAGTGCTTGTGCAAACGGGCTTATTTGTCGTTTTTGTCTCCCTGAACTATGACAACCTTTGCGATCTGAGGGGACTTCACGCACAACTACAGAACAGATGGAGAGTGGTGGGTCGTTGTTTGGATCATTGCGTAGTACAACAGCTTCTCACGAGTTGCTGCTGCTAGGCCCCATCAGGCCATAGCCGTATCATTGTTCCTTCGCCAGCCGAAATGCATGCATCAATGCTGCAACAAGGGCAAACAGTTCCGCATTCAGCATTCCAAGTACCTTTGGTGGAACCAGGGTATTATTTGATTTTTGCACGAGTACGTGCTGGGCTTGATTGGTTGGTTTGTTTTGGGTGGATTTGGCATGTGCCTGCATACCCACTATTGCATCGGCAGCCCGTGAAGTCTTTCGTAGCAACTTGCTGCGCGCTTGCAAGCCCTGATTGGGGACTTGGGGTGCCTTTGTGTCGCCACCCGCGTGGTCACGTTGCCTTGCGATCGCTTTGAGTCGCTGTCCGCCCCAGTGGCTGAGTGGACATGGCGCAAAGAGGTGTGGCTGCACGTGTCGAAGGCGCTTGAACGAGGATTGCGTGTAAGCAAATGGATTTTGGGGGATGTCCTTTTGAAGGTGATCTGCTTTTCGCAGGGTTGCTCGAGCAATCGCAGCTGCAGCTGGGATTCTCAGGTCTAGTCCGAGGTGCCCATTACCGTCTTTATGCCACATGCTTACTGGAAGGGTCGTGTGGCGCCGATCCTCAGCTTCAGTTTCAGTTTCACCTTTCCTATGCCTCACACAGCACTTCCTTCTAGCCCGTTGGAAGGTCCAACGGGCACGAGAACCGGCCACAGTCCCCGCATCCTCGGATTGAAACAATATCAATGCACGTGACTCGTTGTAGGAAGCCCCTGATTGAGCCGGTTACACGAAGCAGGGTAGGCAGGTTGTGTGCTCGAAGATGGCGCAAGATGCCACGCCCCCAGCGCTTTGCTTGTCTCAGCCGCGAACCTGTGGTTTTATTCCAGTTCGGACCATGTGTCGTTTTTTTTTTTTTGTTTTGCTGGGGGTCTGCACAAGCAAGTTAATCTTTCAGCATGGGCTTGAGCCAATGGATGTTCCTGCACTGCTCAACACTTGACGGACAGCAAGCAGAATTGGACAGTTCAAGCAGGTTTGTACACACAACTAAACCAATACTAATGTTTATAAACATTACCAAGAAAGGCGAGCGCAAAGGCGGCTCGAAGGGGACAAGATCTGACCCCCGGATTTCTTTGAGGTTGTCTCGACTGATCTTCCCAAACTTGTTCAGAGCCAGCAAAGCATTGATTTTTTTGGGGGGATGTAGGGGTTTGCACATATGGAGGCCCCCCCGGCCACCGCCCTGTGCCCAGGCCGAAGCATAGCCCCCGCAGCCCTGGGGGCAGCTCCCCCCGAAGCCCTACGGGCGGCAGCCCACGGGTGGGCAGCCCCCATGGGGCAAGCGACCCGAACGGCAAGAACTGCTGGAACTGGCCGCGGCCTTGTGATGTGCCATGAGACCTTTCAGTTTTGTGCTTTTCCGGAAATGATGCGGGCTCTTGATGCGCCGTGGGCCATGAGACCTTTCCCACCTTCTTTTGCCAGAAATCATGGGCCCTCTTATTGGCCCGTTAAAGCTGTGTTTCTGTTGGATGTCACCTCCAGAGTGCTGAGTGCCTTCCGGCAGCCCCAGCCGCGAAGCGATTGTTCCACTGTTGCGCGTAAGGCGTCCGAGTTCCGGCGCCAGATCGTCGTTGAAGAGCTGCTGTCGATGGACGAAATCTTGCACCACCAAAGAAACCCTGGAATGATGATTCCCCTGTAAATACCAATGAACAATGGTTTCTCATGGTTTCCAAGTCGTGCAGGATTTCGTCCATCCGCAGTATGCAGCTATGCATCCTGACGAGGGGAAACTCCCTTTTAGACGCACTAGCGGGCCTTCTGCTGCAGAGCCCCTAGGAGTGATGACGAGAGCGAGGGAGCAGACAGCCGGGTGCCACAGCCACTGTATGACTTTAAAATTGTTTCGCTCTTGCTTTTTGCTCCGTGCACTCCCGGCATAAAGTTGTTCATGCAAAGCTGCATGTGAACATGAGTGTTGGAATGGGCCGACTTTGCCCATTTGGGCCCCAAGCGGAATGGCAGCAACACCATGATGCCAGCACGCTGCAGGGCGTCGTGAACGGCCGTAACGATCATGTTCGTGCCACAAGTTCACGTGCCCCAGGGCGCACCTTGGCAACTGTCGAAGGGCCGATGCGGTAGCTTGAGCCTCAGCTCGCGCAGGCGATGCCAGCGGAGCCCTCGAAAGCCTGGCGCTTATGCAAAGTAGCCAGCCGCTTCAGGGAACGGAAATTCACCACATGGAGCCCAGAAGGTCCCCCTCAGAGGAGAAATAAGGAGAATGATCTTACAGGTGCATGTTAGTGGTTTACTTGAAAGTTGGGGCTCGGAATCTACCCCCAAATTGCGCAAATGTGCAACAGAACTTCGTAGTGTTCCAGGAGGTATCATTGAGGCTGCAAGGTCAGATTTTGCAACGAGCCCCCGATTAGAGGTTGGTCCTTTCCAGGGTCAATGGGTCCGTGACCAAGCGGTCGCTGGATTTGTTGCAGACCCAACCCCCCCCCCCCCAACCCCCGAAGGCCAATGTTCACACGTCCCATGGCAAAGTTGGCATCCCAGGCGCGGTCAAGGCGAAAGCTGCCGCCGGGGCGCCCCAGGGCCAGAAGCATCGGAGCGAAGGAAGGGCAAGGGACTGAAAGGGGAAGGTCACGATTATATAGCAAATGGCTTTCTTTTCTCAATCGGTCCTTCAATAAGAGTACTCTAAGCATTCCATGTGCTTGTTTTTCTCTTATGGCAAGTCGACACAGCTGTGAAACATGACACGGTTTATGTTTTTGTGCTGCTGGGTGGTGTATGGGCTTTTGGAAAGTTAAACACCCACCCAGCCACAAGCACAGTGGCTAAGGAGCCGTGGCAAATATCCCCACAAATCTGTTGCAGGTCCAACATCGCAACTTGGCACACATGCTACTCAGCCACACACCGGCTGAGGCCATACAGCCAATGTTGTCCGGCCTCTCACGAAATATATACTAGTACAGGGGGGGGGGGAGTCGGTCTAAACCGACGGAACAAGGCTTAGTCTACAGGAGGCCTAGTGGAAACACAAAGTGTTGCCACACTGGTCGCGAAAGAGGGCGTAAGGGCGAGCGAAAGGGAGAGGGCGTGTGTTGCGCACATCTGTTTTATATTATTTTGGGCTCGTGCAAGAAGTTTCAAGACCAGTCCGACGCGTTTTGGGCATGCTAGTTTTCGCCAATTCGCTTTGCTTAGAGAGTCTTCCCAAGTCACTTGTAGGGATTCGCAGAAACGTCTTCCCCGAGATGCGCAGAAGATGCCCCCGAACTTGATTTCCAGCCGGTGAAAATAATTTTGTGAAATTCTCACGGGAGTCCAGCTGTTTCGGGCTCACCAGCATAGCCTTTTGACCAAACTCGTTTTCCAGCTGACCAAAATAGGTTTCGGGGATTCTGCCCTGGAGAATTTCTCACGGGAGTCCTGCTGTCGCAGGCTCACCAGAATAGCCTTTTTGTGAGCGGTGCAAACTTGTTTTCCAGCTTAGGTTTTGGGGGTTTGCCCCCGAAATCATTTTCCAGCCGATGAAAAGGGAATTCTCACGGGAGTCCAGCTGCTTTTCGGGCTCACCGGAATAGCCTTTTGCCCCAAACTCGTTTTCCAGCTTTTTTTGGATTCTGCCCCCCGAGCTCGTTTTCTAGCTGGTGATCATAACAACAGAACAGCCTTTTGAGCAGTGTCCGCAAACTCGTTTTCCAGGTGACGAAAATAGGTTTCGGGGATTCTGCCCCGAACTCCTTTGCCGGCCGGTGAAAATAATTTTGGGGAATGCTCACGGGAGTCCAGCTGTTTCGGCTGACCAAAATAGGTTTCGGGGATTCTGCCCCGAACTTGTTGCCGGTGAAAATAACCTTGGGGAACCCTTCACGAAAGTCCAGCTGTTTCGGTCTCACCAGAAACGCCTTTTGAACGGTTCCAAACTCATTCTCCAGCTGACGAAAATAGTTTTTGGGGATTCTGCTCCCCGAGCTCGCTTTCCAGCTGGTGAAAATAACTTTGGGGAGGTCTCACAGGAGTCCATGTTTCGGGCTCACCACAATATCTGTTCGAGCTAGCGGTGAGGCCCAAGATGATTTTCATCGGCTACAAACCAAGTTTGAGGGCGTGCCTGAGGAGCTGTCCCAGCAAGCAAACAAATAGGTCGAAGGCTAACAGGTCATGTAGCAGCAGTAAAGCGCGCACACACACAGAAAAGTTTCACTCCTTGAGCCGCGAAAGCAGGCGAAAGGGTGAGCGAAAGGGATCCTACTTGTACTAGCAATGGCAACAGAGTAAAGATCAACCCCCAAAAGTGTACAGGATATAAAGTGGGACACTTTCCTCTTAGGTTCCCTTTGGGTAGAGGTAGGCCCACCCTTTCCGTTCCGCCTGTGGGTCTGCAACAGGTCAAAGCCAAGTGCTGCCGACTCGTTGCGTTTCGTTCGCTGGTTCGGAAAACGACAAGGAGGTTGTTTACACGCAAGTGTCGAAAAATGTTAAAAACACAACAGGGGATCCCTTTCCAGTCGATGGCCGGGAGTTGGCGCCCGCAATCTTTAAGCAAGGTGGTGCTTGCAACGGGGAGTTTCACTTTTCGTGACCGACTGCCAGCATGTTCTTGGAGGGGCACGCTACAGGGTGCCTTTAAGAAGGGACTTTGGAAGGGGAACTCTTCAAGGGGCATGCCGCGTACATTTGCGTTTTGTTCTTCCTTGCAGTCCAACGCGTATGTCCCCTCATTTGACAGCTGGGCCCTCGGACGCAAATGGGCCGAGTCTTGGGCCCTGCCAGGAAGGAGCCACTGCGGTCCAGGATCTGCAGGCGGGGGTGTCACGCTAAAGTCTCCGTTGCCTTCTTGTTTAGCTGGTTCCCACCCCTTTTCTGGGTCTCCGGTTCATTAGAATCCGCCAGATTGCAGCTTTGCAAGGGGTAAGTAGCCCGTTGGCTTTTGTCAAGTTGAACGAACATGTTGCGCCGGAGCCCCAGCACGTTTCTGCAAAAGCATGGCCCTCTGCATGAGCTTTTGCTGAGGTTCGTCACCCCTGAGTTGAGCTCTCTTTTGGCCTTGCTGGCCAGGTGCCTGCGAGCTTGCTGCCGGAGGCAAGCGTTGTCAGCGCGCTCCGGGCGTCAATCCAAAGCTTTACATGGAGCATCGGACTCTGATCCAGTGGCTTCTCATCGTTTGTTGATGGCTTCGCACTTTGGCCTTCCGCTGTTTTGGGCAAGAGTCAGGTGCCGGGAGCTGGTCAAGGTGAGTGAGTCAAACGTGGATACGGCTGCCCACGTGCCGCAAATAAAAGATTCCTTCAAGGAGCTCAATGAAGCGCGGTTGTCAATCGCCTTGTCATGAGTGTTTGTGCCAAGCCTGCGGGCCATACTTCACGTGTGTAGCAAATGCACAAAAGAATGGACAGCCGATTTTTAAATCTGGAAAGAAGTACAGGGGATCCCTGGTTCCCGTTTTAGGGAGGCCCCCCCCGGCGGATGATTACCCCATCCCCCCTTCCCCGTCTCCGCAAGGTTCACCCGCTGCCCCAAGTGCAGATGCTGCGCCCGCGCCTGAGAAGCGCGGTGGGCTGCCGGCTGGCGTGGCAGGTGCGGCATGACAAACAACTTCCATTTGCTGATTTTTTGTTTTTTATCCCCTTGTTGGTTTTGAAAAGGGAATCGCTTTCACTACTGGACATGTATGTTCGTGTTATTTTTCCTTCGGACTTAAGCAATGGAGGAAAATGAGAGATGAAAGAACTGGGGGGACCCCTAAAACAGCTCGTTCTGTTGGGTTGCCGTTGGCAGGCCATAGCAATCGAAAACACACGCACACACCCAAGAGTTGGTGAAGTGCAGACATGAATTTGAAAGATGCCTATCGAAGTGTGTCAGGCCCCGATGCACTGAGTGGAGTTGCATGAGTCAGGTTACCATCATGGATGGTTCGAAGCTGACCTTTACCCGTTTGGCCGGTCGGCGTGTCCATGCCAACTGGTTGAAACGCTCACGCAGTTTGCTTCAAGCAATCGTGCATGTGCTCAACGTCCATAGGCTTGCCAGAGCTCGTAAAGCTGCTTCTGGACCACGAAGGGAATCAGCTTTGAAATTTGGCATTCCTCTTCACTTGAACTTCATGGGCCTTTCCCAAATATATTTGTCTGTGCTGGCGTTGGTTACATCTGATTGCATGCCCTTATGCCTTAGGGGAATCGCCAGCGCAGAATTCTGCGATGGGCCTGCTTTGATCGCACATAAGAGTGTGTAGGCAAATGGGCACTCTACTGGGTGTTATTCGTTCCCAAGCAAGGCAATCATATCTGAGAGAGGGCCCACTTGCCGCCAGACTTAGCTGGCCTTGTCTTCAGTGTTTGGAAAAGTGAGTTGATAGCAACCAAGGTTATAACCACACTGCTCTTCCGCGCCTTGTAAACGGGATATCTTGGTAGAACACGAAACTCAATTTAGAGACAAACCCATGTGTATTAAGCAGCGTCCCTCTTTTAGGACCCAGTGGCACTGGAACCAACCAGAAACGTTTGAAGGGGAGATCCAGTGACCCCTGGAAACTTTTTGGAGCCAGCATATCTTGATTGAAGCTGAGATGAAAGAAGGCCTTTCAATTCCCCTCCTAGTCCGCGCGATCGTGTTAAGCAGGTTTTCAAGGTCAGGATTGTAGCCGTCGGCACTAGCATGCAAGGTTTGGTTGTGTTGGGTGGCCATCAGGAAAGAATCGGCAAGTGCATCAGCCAGCTCAGTTTGCCGTATAGGCTGCCTTGTTGGTGCTGACCTTGAGTCACGCCCAGGAAAACTGCTGCTTTGCTTTTCGTTTTTTGACAGCCATGGGCACGGCCCGCAGCGCTCTGCGAGTAGAGATATGTTTGCCAAGTGGGAGCAGCTGCTTTGTGACGCTATCGCCAGAGACGTCTGTTCTCCGATTGAAGTTGGAGGCACAGCGGCGCCTGCAGCGCGGCCTTTTGAGGCTGGTTTTCGGCGCTCGCCTGCTGGACTTGTCGTCCACCTTGCGCGAGGCGGGCCTGCGAGATGGGGACCGCGTGGACGCCATTGTGCAGAGCGTCACGTTGGCGTCCACCAAAAAGGCTTTTGCCGTGTATGCCGCAGGGAGCACTGTGGTAACTTGGGGCAATCCTGACACTGGTGGTGACGGCCGCCAGGTGCAAGAGCAGCTGATTGATGTGCAGCAGGTCCAAGCAACTTGGCGTGCTTTTGCTGCCATCCTGCAGGATGGCTCCGTGGTGACCTGGGGTGCGGCTGATGAGGGCGGTGACAGCAGCCAGGTGCGAGAGCAGTTGGTGCAGGTCCAGCAGATCCAAGCAACTGGAAGTGCCTTTGCTGCTATTCTGCACGACGGCTCTGTGGTGACGTGGGGTGCACCTGGCTATGGCGGCAACAGCAGCCAGGTGCAAGATCAGTTGATCGATGTGCAGCAAATCCAGGCATCCTGCTATGCTTTTGCTGCCATCCTACGTGACGGCTCTGTGGTGACTTGGGGAAGTCCTGACTATGGCGGTGATAGTAGCCATGTGCGAGAGCAGTTGGCGCAGGTTCGGCAGATCCAGGCAGCTAGCACTGCTTTTGCTGCCATTCTTCAGGATGGCTCGGTGGTGACCTGGGGTGCTGCTGCCGAGGGCGGTGACAGCAGCCGGGTGCGAGAGCGGTTAGTGCGGGTCCAACAAATCCAATCCACGGACGCCGCTTTTGCTGCCGTCCTCGACGACGGCTCTGTGGTCACTTGGGGCAATCATTGCTTTGGCGGTTGCAGTGCCCAGGTGCAAGCGCAGTTGGTGCAAGTCCAACAGATCCAAGCGAATGGAACTGCGTTTGCTGCCATTCTGCACGACGGCTCTGTGGTGACCTGGGGCTATTCGCACCACGGCGGTGACAGCAGCCAGGTGCGAGAACAGTTGATCGATGTTCAGCAGATCCAAGCATCTTTGTCTGCTTTTGCTGCCATTCTAAACGACGGCTCTGTTGTGACTTGGGGCCATTCTTCTCAGGGCGGTGACAGCAGTCAGGTGCGAGAGCAGTTGGTGCAGGTCCACCAGATTCAAGCAACTTTAGGAGGAGGTTTTGCAGCCATCCTGTGTGACGGCTCTGTGGTGACTTGGGGTGCTCCTTCCTACGGCGGCGACAGCAGCCGAGTGCGAGAGCATTTGGTGGGTGTTCAGCTGGTCAAGGCATCCCTGTATGCGTTCGCAGCCATCCGGCACGACGGCTCTGTGGTGACTTGGGGTGATCCTAGGTCTGGTGGTGACAGCAGCGCGATTCGATCTAAACTCGAGTTGCTATGAGATTTCCTTGCCAGCAGCTGGCCAATAATGGCGTGACAGAAGATCCGTTTCCGCAGGAACACACAGAGATGGGACAGGGGAGGGCCATGATCTGCAAACTGCCGAGTTTGCAGACAGAGTCCTGGTTCTCGGGCACAAGGCTGTTTAGGGATGGCTTTGGCGTTTGTTGAGGCACGAGTTACGGCATTCACCCACAGGCAAGTGCTGAAGCTAGGTTCGGTTGCTCCGGGCTCCGCTAGCATCAAACTGGAAGCCCCGTATGGAACCCACCCAACTGCCTACCGGAAAGGCAATACGTTGCCCAGGCAACGAGCAGCGCAGAACGAAGCTTTGGCCGGCCAAGACAAGGTTTCCACCCTCAATGTTGGGAGTGCGGGAAGATATGTTCCAGTCGGATTTGCGTGTATGTGTGCCCTTTGTTTGACAAACTGAAAGGCTAGCCACAGGGTTAGTATCGCCTTCGATGTGACCTGGGGTTGCTACGGAGGATGCGCCCCCCGACCCTTCGGGGTTTGGGACAAACACAGCCCGGACCTTTACTTGGGATGAAGAGAACTTTGTCGAAGAAAGCAGGTTGAGGTTTGCCGGCGTGAGGCAGGAGTGCTCAAAGCTAGAATTAGGTTTGGTTGCTGAAGCGGTCAGGGCAAACAGCTGCGGATCTTCGTGAGTAGAAAACTTGCTGAGGATGATGTTGAAACTAAATGGTGCCAAGAACATGTGAGAACAACGGTTCCAAGAATATAAGGGTGTCAGTCGGGGCTGCTTATAGTTCAAGCCAGGTCCTTTGAGCAAAAGGGCGAGTTGCGTTGCAGGCTGAAGTGGTTGACTCCGTCACAAGGTTTGGGCCTTTTGGCATTCCGTCGAGCTCCAAAACCCATCTTTGGTCTTGCGGCTTGGGACGTGGGAGGGGATTTCCTGAATTGTCCCACCAAAAAAAGGACCAAGCCAAATGTCCCCATATTCATGTGTACATTTCCCGTCGTTTTGGGGCGTCCATTGTTTCACTTCCATGTCCCACTTCGCCAGCATCACGTGCTTCTTGGCGAGGTGAAGCTATTTCCGTGCTTCTACTGCTGCGCGCCGGACCACATGCTCGACAGGCACTGAGCAACAGCCAACGGAAGGGAAGGTACGCGCCTTTCAGCTAAATTCTAAGCCCGTCTTTGCATTTGCCCGACTTGAAGGATTTCAATCACGGACGCGGGTGTCCGATGTGTTGTTTGCTTGGGTTTCTCAAGCCAGATTTGGGCTCATGCTCCTTTGGGATATTGAACCAATTCTTACACTTTTGTCTTCAACGCGTATACCACGTTTACCAGAAGGGGATCACAAGAAACACAACGGTGCCTCAAGTTGCGTCGCTGGACGGGTCGCCAGGGACTTCCTGATCGAGCAGCTCACCACTGCAAGCGGCGGGAAGGCCCCAAGCCAGAACTTGGTGGAGGACTGGTCACGCGTCTGGGGACGAGTGTTGACCGCAGGTGAACAAACCTGGTGGACTAATAGGGGGGTGTTTCTTGCCACAAACTAGTGGACTCCCTTGTAAATGAAGCGGCCTCATGAACTAGCCAGGGGTTTGTTAATCCTGGGTTTCCATTATCCCAGTTGAGTTGGGAGTGGGAGCAGCCTTGTTAGCCCACAGCACGTCGAGTACACAGCGAGCACGAGAGTGCACCGAGTACCTACCGAGCGCGATGCGTGATCCGTACCCGACACTCGGCGTGTGCCGGGCTCATCGGCTCGCAGACGTGCCCGGTGTGCGCATAGCGGGCGGCCAGGCAAAAATGAGGCAGGGTTGGTTTTGAACGTGAGTGAGCCCTTGAAAAATGGAAGGTTGGAACTTGAGTGGGCAGTAAATCAGGAGCAAGCAACAAGCATGCCCACTGGCTGGGACCCTGCGGCATGTCTGCCGCGGCCCAGAATTTCTAGTCCGGTGACCGCAATGTGCATGACGCCTGCGCATGCTTGACGGCTGCTCCATCCCAAGGCCAACCTCCCCCAGAGGTACAAGTTCCACGCGCTTGAACTGCGCCGCGATTCTACCGAAGTACCAGTGAGCTTTGAGGGAAACCAGCCACCTTTGAATGATGTAGGCTTTGCCATTGTAAGGCACAAGCTATACCTAGGTCTTCCCTGGGCACTTTTTCTGTATGTGTCCATTTCGAGGAAAGAACAAAACCCCTCGTTTCCCCCAAAAACTTTCAATTAAGCAAAACAAACGCTCAATTGGAAAATTGGTCTGGTGTTTCCGCCAGTTTCCGCTCATTTACCGCCGATTTCCGCTGTTGTCCGAGAGAAAATTGGCCAAATCAAGGTTTCCGCTCATTTCATGTGTTTCCCAAGCCACAAAATGCCCAGACGGAGCCAAAAAGGGTTCTGTGCTCAATTAATTCTACACATCAGTCCCCGCACAGGAGACCATGGCAGCAGATGGGGACCGGATGGCCGCCCACAAGCAGAAGTGGCCACCTGCTTGGCACATCCAGATCCGCTCAAGAAAGGGCAACGCCTGTGAGCGAAGACTGCCTTCGTCTTTGTTTTGTTTGAACCGCTCTGTAGCTACCATTGCCGTTGTCCCATGCTTTTGGAGTGGTGTGCGGTCGCCACCCCTGTGCAATTGCCGGCTTGCCAGATTTGGAAGGAAGGACACGAGCGCGGCTTTGCGCATAGGCATCCAAATGCATCCCAGGGATTATCTAGGCATTTTCCACCCTCCCCAGGAAATAGCCAGGGGTTCTCCGCCTGCAAAGGGGCCGCCAAATACAATGTGCAGTTCATTGCCGCGAGTACCCGGCACCATAATTATACACTTGCAGCAATATGCAAGGGATCCCCACAACCCACTCGCCAGGTATTTGTTACCTTGGTTCCTCTTCACCCCCAGCCAAAGGATTTCCACATGGGTTTGGTGCCCCAGGCGCAGTCGCTGGCGGGCCGCAGCCACAGAAGCGAATGTGCAAACCGCAGGTTGCATATTTTCTACACGGGCCCCTCATGCGTCATACAGGGACCGCCACGACACAAGTTGACGGACCCAATGGAGAAAACCACAAATATGTGTAATCGCTAACTTTGCAAAAGCAGCAGGTCCCTTTAAGCAAAGCAACTGCAGTGACAGAACACTTATAGAGTTAATTTGGAAATATCAGTTAGCATGTCCATTTTTATTTTCTGTAGGATTTAACTACCAGTATTTGAAAAAAAACATCCTATTGTAGTTTTCGATCGAACTCCTACTTGCACTGTTCCTGATTAAGTTTCATGACAATTCGAATCAGGTGTGCATCAGTTTCCCTTGGACACGAAATCCTTCTCAAATTCAAATCGGGGAAATGTGTGGCATACCCGAAAAAAGAGCAGGCAACACTGGCAGCCAACGGCAAGTCGATGAGACTGAACAAAGCAACATCGACGAAGCAACCATTTAGCAGGGAAAGTTCTTGGTATACCCCATCATCTCCACTGCAAAATGTGTTTTTAGTTGTTTTTGCAATTTCTCGAGTTGCTTTTCGGTTTCAGGCTTGTATGTGAGCAAGATGCATGTCCTTTGGTTGACTGTGTATTTTGTGTGTTTCTCCATGTTTTGTTCGGTTTGAACCTCAGAAGGTCAGAAGCCAAAGGTAGTAGAGAGGCAAAAGCGGGGCCCAACTCGCTCAGAACGTCTCTTTCTGAACAAACGGGTCAGGTTTGACCACCAAGTAGTCTCTGACCGAGTACTGTTTAGTATCGAAGCGGGGAGACCCTATGCTGTTTCTTTGTGTGAGAAGGCCTTTTGAGTATATTTTCTTTTTTCAAGGGGAGTGACAGATGTCTGGAGAGCACCCGAAATTGGGTACGCCACTGCGGCAGTTGCGGCAGCTCATGAGAGGTTTCCTGTATATCTCCAGGACCTTGGGAACATGTGCGTTTATTGCCAGTTTGGTCGGAATTTTCGGGCTGCTTCAAACTGGGCCACATCCCCCACAAATCAGGGCACAAACTAGCCCAAAATGAAAACCAAACAGGAACGCCATGTTAAGACAAACCCAAATAGGAACGCCATGTTAAGACGAACCCAAATGGCCACATTTTCCCAAGCTTGTCACTTGGAGCTCTTGTTGGCCTTGCCGAATGTCATGTAGGGTGGTCCTGGTTGCCAATCATCCTTTCGGGAGGCTGAGCCGCTATCAACAGGGCCTTTTTGGCAACCCCTAACGTTGTGAACTGCTCTGCTTCTCAGGTGTCAGATCGCCTGGCAGATTCTGCAGGTCTGACCCGATCAAGTCGAGCTAGCTACAGCCAGTCAAGTTGTTTGGTGCGCGCATCGTCGCCGCCTGAGTTATGAGGTCTGCAGTTGCTGCTGCTGTTGCTCCTGGCTTGGTGCGCTTGGGCCACAGTGATCATAGGAGGTGCGCCCTCCACGAAACGAGGCCGGCATGCTTCGAGTTGACCTTGCAGTTCCCGCAGTGACATAGTGAATCTGTTTTTTGCTTTTTGGCCAGGTTGGCCCTTGGGGTGATTGCTCTTTGGAAGAAAGAAGGGCGAAAGGGATGGACTAATTACTAACAGGCCAGTTACAATATGTGAGTTTCTTCAAGCAAATGCCTCAAGTAGTTTCACAGAGGCGCCATGCTGACGACTACTTTTCCCCTTGGCCCACCCCCCTCGCCTCCCCGGCCAACGCTCAGCAGAGCGTTGCCAAGGTTGGCTGCCCTAGTTGTTGCTGGGGCCTCAGTGCAAAGAGTGGAACACAGTCGGCCAACCTTGGCCAGGAAGCCATCCCCTTATATAGCTTTTGTTTTTGTTTTAGAGCTTAGCGGGGGGTTCCATTTGACCCACTAAAAGTTAAACTTTCAGCAGGGGATCTGAGGACAGCCCAGTATGGATTTGGACATCGGGGTGGTTTTGGCAGTGACTGCCCGACCGATATGCTTGTCAGAGCAGGTGCCTCGGATCAGGGCTTTCGTATGGCAACAGTGGCCTTTGCATAAATCACCTGTATGCTCACAAGAATGCAATTTGAGCACAGTTGTTTTTGGGACCCCAGCGACAAATTTACCAGACTTTGTCGAGATGTCAAAATTGGCTTCTAAGGCATTCAGTCTGCAAAAGCGGGTTGCACGGTACGTGTTGACATTTATCCGCCTTAAATGTGTTGCATTGACAACGCCAGAAATGTTGTCGGGCTGCATGTTTTGCGCCTACTTGATTGAACATGGCTTTTTTAGAGGTGGGTAGGGAAGCTGCAGGCTCGCGCTTACGCAGGCAAGCCGATCTGGCTTGGGATGTCCATGGCCCAGCCTTTTGACAAAAGACTGCGTATGCTTCTTTTTTTTTTTGGGGGGGGGGGGGTTGGGCTAAAGGGACTATGAGCTCTTTTTCCGAGGGGCCACTGGGCGCGTTTGCTTTCCCGGCCAGCTCTTCGCCATCTCTCCATGGCAGCAGCTTTGTGACGACTGTGGCTGGAGCAAGCGGGCAACGGCCCCGGATGGGCTTGTTGGAAGCTGCCTCTCATTCCAGCTACAGGGTGGGGCTTCCCTTCAAGGGATACTGGATTGGTGCCTCCGTGTTTTGTCATTTGGACACAGTCGAAGCATTTGGTTTGTGAAATTGGTGTGCAGCCGGTTGTTTGGAGACAGTAGCGGTACAAAGCCGCTCACTGGCAATGCATAAGGTACATTGTACTCGCATCCTTTGGTTGAAGCAGAGCTTACATGATTGCGGGGTTGCTGTTGAGCTGCTATTTGCCTGAGGCCTTTTTCTGTAAGCCAGTGCGGCGCCAGCACTGTGGAGTTTCGTGTGTCATGCATGGCTTGGCACGGTAGCGGCTTTGGAGTTCCGGGTTCAAATGGGGAGATGTGTCGGAGTCCCGGGTCTTGGCCTCTTGCGGCAATGATAGTATGATTTGCCGTAAGGCTGTTCCGGTGGCATGGGGTTCAGCGACTTGATCCAAGAGCCTATGCAAGTCGATCCGCTTTGCTCCGAAGACTTCATTTGAACCTTGCGCTGGCACGTGTCTCTACATTTGTTCTGGGTACCTTTTGGAGGCTTGATGAGGTGCACCCTTTTGAGGATTTAAAGGGTTGTACAAAATGATTATGAACTGCCTCGTGCGTTCCCAATGTAAGGCCTGCATCCTTTTGGAAGCAAGTCAGGTGACCTCTCAACCGGGTGACACAGGGTGAAACAAGTCAAATCTTTGAAGCCACTGTCAGCTTGCCTTTCCGATCCGATGGCTCAAGTTGATGGTCGCGGTGTAATGGATGCTGCCAGGCCTGGTTTGTTTGGAAAAACACGGCGAAGGCTTGAGTGAGCTTTTGCCAGCATAATGCACCCATGCTTTGGTTGAGAGCCTCCGTTCACGTGCGTGTGTGTGTGTGTGTGTGTGGGCGTTTATGCTTGCTTGTTTGCATTTGTTTGCGATTGTGTTGGCATTGGTATTTGCATTTCAGTTTGCGTTTTTTTGTTCTTCTTCTTTTTCGTATGTGTGCATGTGTGTGTGTGTGTGTGTTGCTCTGCCTTGCCCTGCCTTGCCCTGCCTTGCCCCTTGCTTGCTTGTTAGTTGTTTGGTTGCTTGTCCGTTTGTTTGTTTCTTTGTTCGTTCGTTCGTTTGTGCGTGTGTGCGGGTAGGTGGGCGGGCTGGCGGGCGGGTGCACGTGGGGTGTGTGTGGGGCTTCAAATTCTTGGGATGGCCACTGGCGCGCGGAATCCCAACAGTGTTGCGCTGATAGATTTAATGCAGCCGCGGACTTCTTTTTCACCCAGGGAACGGTACCTTGTAATGTTGACCCCGGATCAATAAACCCCCCGTTTACTGCTATGGGGTTGTTCTCCCAAAAGTGATGAATCCCATTGAATCCCCACTAAACCAGGGACACTTCCGTATTACACGGGGTTTGCTAATGCAGGGTGAACATTTCTGGTCTCACTACCTGGGCCTCAGAAAGGCCCAAGTCTTACATCATGGAAGCTTGAGCCCAGGGATGCGGAGGGTCGGAGTGAACGCACGCCTGAGGTAGGTGTGGTGCATCCATATACTCTCTGCATAATACATTATGTATAGTATATCTATTTCACCAGCTTCTCTTTGCCCATACCAGGTTATATGCGAGAGGTAGCTTTTCTCTGGCCCCGGTGATTGAGTTTCCCCCAGGCCATGGATGATGGCCTCGCCCATCCAAGAGCCTCGGAAAATTGGGACGCCGCGGTGAAAGAAAGGTCCCAATACTTGAAGCCATTTGGGTATGGGCCAAAATTAAACCACCAGGGGTTTGTGTCCATTTACCCGGGTTCCAATCGCCAATTTGCCAATCATGGAGGGCACACCAGAACCTGGGACCGGGTTTCAGCACGCTGATAAATGTAGCAAAGCAGCTGTCCTTATCTGTCTCAACCTTGAACAATCACCATCCACAGCATATGCCCCGCTCGGGTCATTGTTTGCGTTGTCCCTGTGTCCGTGTCTCCATGTCCTTGTTGTCCGCCCGTGGTTGTGTTCGTGCCACTGTCTTCCCCTGCGCCTGTGCCCATGTGCTGTGCGACTAGGGGTCCCTTTCATTAGTTCGTTAGAAAAGCACAGCTTGGTGACACCCCATCCCTGCCTGCCACTGTCTTTTCCTGCGCCTGTGCTCGACTAGGGGTCCCTTTCATCAGTTCGTTGGGAAAAGCACAGCTGCCGCTGTCAGAGTCCGAGAAGAAATGCAAGCGGAACGCGGCCCATCACGGGCCGCCAAGCCAAGGATGGCTCCACGACCCAAAGCTACCGGCAGAACTGCACCAGGCGTGCAGCAAGTGGCTTGGGGTGGGTAAGGGTCTGCTGGTATCGGACATTGGGGCTTTGTGTGTGGAAAGGGATTGCCAAAAGGAAGTGAACCATTGGGGTCACTTTGTTGAGCACCTCCACAGCTTTTCTTTGTTTGATTTTCCCGCAGACCAATTTGGCAGCCACACAGGGCCCATCATGCCCTGGGCTAGAGGGACGCGGCACATGTGCTTGCTTGTCTTGCTAGTCAACTTGCGTCCCACTTGCATGTCTCGGCATTGGCCTCAGAACCCAAGGGTTGAGGGCTGCGGTTTTTACAAACCTTGTGCTCGCCAGAAGCTGCTAGCCGCTCTTCAAGCGCCGTGCGAGGAGCAGGGAAGTGTGGAAGTGATGGTGCCAATCGCTGGGGTCATGCCTCGGTGTGGCCTCGTTGGCCAGTGGCACTTGTTTTGGTTGGACTCTAGGGGTTGGTTCCCCATTCTTTTCAGCCATCGTTCTTTTCACAAACCAGGCATTTCCCCAGGGCGTTTGGTGGTTTTCTAGACAGATCCGGATCCCTGGAAAGATGGACCTGTTGGTTGTTTCAGCCCGTTGGCCACCTGCCTTCAATGGAACTTTGGAACTTGGGGCGATGGGCATGAGCAAAGGCATCAGAGCTGGCCTGTTGCCTCTTGCTTGATATCGACTGGACGTAACATGGATTTCGAGCATCCCATCAGTGCCTTCAGTGGCGGAATGCAACATGTTGCATGTTGGACGGGTTGCGTGTTTGAAGCTGTTCTGACTTCTCGGTTGGATTATGGGGAATTGAATTTGATTATACAAATGACAAAAAAAGCTAGCGATTCTTCTTGGAGCCTTCTTGGGTGTCGCTTCTTTGGGTGGGACATCTATGGGCAACCACGGGTCAGCATTTTGGAGGGAATCGCCAAGGGCTGACCGTGCGTAGGCAATCTTGACAAAAGCCGCCACCAGCTGCCCAGCCTGAGTCCATCCGGCTGGTCGGTCAGTTGGTGGGTTGGGTTGGGTTGGGTTGGGTTGGGTGGGGTTGGGTGGGGTTGGTTGGGTTGGGTTGGTTGGTTTGGTTTGGTTTGGTTTGGTTTGGTTTGGTTTGGTTTGGTTTGGTTTGGTTTGGTTTGGTTTGGTTGTTTGTTTGGTTGGTTGGTTGGTTGGTTGGTTGGTTGGTTGGTTGGTTGGTTGGTTGGTTGGTTGGTTGGTTGGTGGGGTAGGTGGGGTAGGTGGGGTAGGTGGGTGGGTGCTTCAGAGCCACAATGAATAGCAATCAAGAAAACGGCGCGTGTGCGCACAGATCAGCTGACCAGCTCTCTTGCCGGATGAAATCGCCCCCGAAAGTTGTCACCTCTTGCAGAGCGCCTGAGTCTGGGCAAACTTATCCCAGGGCCTGGGAACTTCAATGCTGGCGAGCAAAGCCCAGTATATATACAGGGCTCCTTAAAGATACATTTTGCTCATTTGAAACATGACTTTTGAAAGGGAAACCACCATTTACAAGGCAATGTTCAGGTGTATAATGTAGGGATCCCTGATATATGGCGTACAAACGGGCTGAGAAGGGTTTTGGGGCCGCTTGCTTTCCGGAGTTACCCTAAAGATCTCCAGGGCTTTGCGATGACATAGCCTACGGGTTTATGCGAACGGGCTCGTGGCTGCGGGAATGGCTGGGCAAATTTTCTTACGAGGGCAACCGCTGGGACCTTGATTCATTGATTGCGGCCGCGGTTCAGGAGCCGCCGCCTCGCACCTTGGCACTAGTCCGGTGGATGGGCCGTGGGGCAAGATGGCAAGGCGGACCCAACATGAAACAAGCCTGGCATTTGGAGGGTTCCGAAGTTTTGGAGTTTTGATCAGTCAGCCCAGGTTGACGGTTTGGTGTTGGAGTTTGCTCAGGGGCTTGACCAAATCCAAGCTGCAAATTGCGGGGAGCCTGTAAAGACATACTACGCGCAAGGGATTCTCCGTTCTGAAGCCCGTTTGTGCAGCCCCGTTCCTTACACGACTACTTGTTTGGAAGTAGGGTCCGCTGAGGTCACACATTAATGCAGCACAAGCCTACGGCAGTTTGCATATTTTCAGCCGGAGCCTATGGCTCTTACGGCGCTCCGCAGCCATTGACTCTCTCGCCCCTAGCTGTTTGAAGACTTGCATAGACTCGCAATGGCGAAGGCTGGCAGTGACAATAGCGCCCTGGCTCACATGGAGCGGTTGCGCTGCTCAGAGTGGGTGGAGGATCGAGGGGATTTTTCCCAATTGCCTGACCATTGGCCAAACATCGCCTAAAAGTGTGAGTTCACTTGTGAACACCATTAGTTGCCTCACGCACCAAAGCTGACAAAGCTGTACCAAAGATAGACGGTGTGGGATTGGAATGGCATGCCCTTTCCTAAAGTCCTCTCCAACCACACTGGTGCAGGGCAGCTCCTGAAAAACATACGGCAGACATGGCATTCGGATGAATCGTGATCCTTCAATTTGACAGACCTTAGTGCATCGGAGGTAGGATGTTTTGATGAATGGATCAACCTAATTTCCCTTTAGACATTTAAGCTGCAGTCATGGGCTGCCTCATCATGGATCCGGATGCAAAACCACGGTCGGCATCGTTCTTGCGGACCTGGCAAGCACACAATCACGCGCGCTACGATTTGGGATGCGTGCCATTTCCTAAGCAAACGAGGGCACCCACAGCCTGGCTTCCACTCCTCTCAGCAAGCGATGCATTCAGGGAATGGGGTGGCCCTTTGGGATGCCGTGTTGGGCCGTGCAGTGCGCACTTAGCAGGTTTGCCAAGCTGCTTTTTCAGAAGTTCAGAAGCTGCTCGCCCGTACGGGCGATGCAGTGGCTACCCTCATGACAGTTCTTCGCATGCGCTGAGACCTGCGAAGCGGAAGGAAGCTGTCGATCCTTGCTGGTAACTCAGAATCACGGGATTTTGTGTTTGATTTGCCCCCGCAAATCAGTCGCAAATCTCAAAGTAACTCTGCTGTTGTTGTTGAACTACTTGTTGCAAGAAGGGTGTTGGTGCCTCATGGTGTATGCGATTCTCTTTGGCGCATCGGGTGCTGGTCGTTTCGCAAAGCTAATCAACATGATGCTTCATGCTACTGGCTGCCTAGCATTATGTCGTTTTGCTTGCAGTTTCTGCTCTGATTGATCACTTGAGCGTAAATTTGGATTGCTTCCGGACAGTCTCACATTCAAGATTGGGGAATCCTCACCACCCAGGGGATGGGTTGCGTTTGCGATGGCAGTCTATTTGCGAGTTGCCAACTGAAGATGTAGATGTAGATGGACTTTGGTGCAGAAGCTAGTGCAGCTAACAGTGACAGCTAAGTTTCACCTAGGTCCCCCAGTAGTGCCACTTTACCCTTTTTTGGGGAGGGTTCCCCTACTAAAATAGACCACAGAAAACAGGGTACCCTTGTTCTAACCTCTCTACTGGAGGACCTAGTCACACTTGGCAATTATCCTTGCAGTTTTGCACTGGCTTGGAGTTCTAGGCGTGGTCATCCTGCCATCCTGCCTCTTCCATATCGGCAACACCCAGCGCGAGCAGGATTTGCTGAACCTGCCCCCGCCGTGCCTCGCAAAAAACGCGTCGCTGATATGTGCCGAGCCGCGGGAACAGGGGGTTTTGCGGGGAGCCGGCATTTGGCAAGACGGCCTGTGCTGCATGTAAGCGCCAAACTGCTTATCAGAAGCAACCGTGTTACCCCCCCTCCCCCCGACCTGGCACGGTGGATGTTGGAGAGGGGGAAGCGGCAACGTTCATGTTTAACTTCCGTGAGCTTCGCAACTTGGGCCGGCCTGTCTCATGAACACGTTGGAGCTGTAGCCACGGAGCTGTAGCTTGAACCGGCCATACCGCATTTCAAAAAATGGCTGGCGAGCCTGTGAGCCTTGTCATTGGCATCCCAAGTACCCCAAGGTCTTGATGCGGTATCCCTGCAAAGTCCCTCGAAGCCTTGATGCCCGTCAGCCTGTCGCGCCTAGCGTGCAAGGCCAAGGTTCAAGAACCCATGCAGGTATGCAGCATGGGCCCATATGGGCCCTATTGGCGAGTCCATGCCGTCTTGGGGTCAGACTGGGTCAAAGCACATTCTTCAACGCTTGGGGACGAGTTGGATTTGACAAGAGCTCCCGACTTTGGCCATTTAGGTCCTGCTCCTCGAATCCCGGCTCCGCGAACCTCTTCCAGCTGAGAACGCCACTTGCAGTGTTATTGGCCTGTGGCCGTGCGCCAAAGCGTGGCTCCCAAAGCAAGTTTGGGAAACCCTTGCAACATGATGCAAACAGTCCTCAAGTGCAAATACACCATGACAATTTGCTGACTCCTGACTTGCAACATGGAGCATATGTCAATACAGGACCCACTGCGAATGGATGGCTTTGAAGTCGACCCGGGAACCCAAAAGCGCTACCAGCTGAGTAGTTCAAGCTCAATCCTCACTATTGCGGTGTACTATGACATACTTATTAGAAAGTCTGGTATCCGGACCCCATTTTGCACAAGTTGCTTCCCCTGGCCACCTGCTTTTTTGGTAAATGCGTTATGGCTCTTTGCATCTTTGGACTTGAGCTTGTGGATTTTTCCCATTCCCACAAAAAGCTGAACACTTTTTGCAGAGGGGTCGTTACAGCAACCCCTGGTTGACTAACAGGGTGTCCCATCAAGAGCCGGGATCCTTCATCAAGAGAGAATGAGTCACTCCCAATTGCTTTCCGCTCATGTTGATCCCGAATTCAGAAGCCCCTGATTATTAATAGGGGTGTCAACCTGGGTTTAGTGGGGAATCAGACCACTTTTGGAGGGGAAGCCCCCCCTATTAATAAACAAGATGGAGGGGTTGGCGAATATGGGGTCATTCGGCACCTGCCACCGGCCGCATGCGATCGCAGGAAGGGTGCTGTCGGGGGCGCGTTGGCGCGCACGGCCAATCAGCCGGTGCCAAGGGCCAACCAGCCTGCGGTGGAGGGGCCAAAGTGAAGGCGCTGATCTGGAGCGTCTCAGAAATTGCTCTTCCTTGGGTTTGTTTTGTTGTGTTGTTGGTTTGTTGTTTTGTTGGTTTGCTGGCTTGCTTTGCTTAGATGCTGAGTTGCTTGTTTGCTTGCTGCTTGCTTGCTTATTTTCATGTGTGCTTCTTTCTGACGAGATGTTCAACGAACATGGTCATGGCTGTTGGTTTCAAGCTGGGGTATTTTGATACCCCTTTTTTTTGTTCTACTGGGGCTTTGAAATTAAATAAACAATTGCGAGACCTCGCCATGGTGAAGTTTGGAGGGTTTGCCAGTGGAAAAGCATGAATGCCTTTTGTCATTGACTTGCGGTTGTCTCCGTTTGTCGGGTTGCTTTTGCTATGCCAGGCCATGCTAGGCCATTCTTTCTTGACTGGCAACGGGCGGAAAGCCCAAAGCTTCTACTAAGAGTTTGAACCCGATTGCTTGGTGGACCTTGCGCCATAACGTGAGTGGATGCTGCCTTTTTGTTGGCCAACTGCTGAATGTTTGATTGCACCCTTTTCTTGGATTCACTTGTTTGCTTGTCGCTCGCAGTAGTTCGTTAACGAAGCATTGGTTGCAACTTTCAGGGCTTCTCCTCAGTCCCTGCATGGTGCTTCTGGGTGGAGCTGGTTTTCTTTGTGGAGCCTCGTGGGCCTTTGCCGGTTAAACCAAAAATGGAGCATGGTTTTCGTGTGCTGCATCCTTCGGCTGTCAGGGCCAAAGAACTTCTGAGGCTGCTTAGTTTTGGCACGTTTCACGGGCTCCCTGCATTCCATGCGACAGGAATGCGGAGGCCCACCCTTTTCCAGCCACATCTTGCTGTCGAGCGCGCAGAGAGCACGGCCCAGATCCATGAACCGGAATGGGGATTTCCCGAACGCGAGAGCAGGCTGCTACAAAGAGGCAAGCCTTGCAAGCTGAGAAAACGCGAGCTCTTCAATCAAGTTCTCTTCCTTGGGACGTGCATTGCGCAATGAAATCGGGCTCAACATGAGCTCTCAGAGGCGTGGTGCTAGAAAGGGGCTGCATGAACGCGTGTGTAGTGCAGGATTGTGGCCTTGGGCATGGTTTGCCACGAGTGGGAGGGAGCCAAAAGAGACAGCACAACATGTTCAAGCATTGCTGCTAACTTTTCTGCTTCATCTTCAACTGATTCTTCCGGCGTCATTTCAACCAGCTGTGCCCTTGGGGGGTTGCAGGTCCAAGGCCAACAAGACGCCCCGACTTTGGGGTCTGACGGCCGGCTGAGCTTCCAGGCGGAAGCCAACGACTCATGGGAAGGGGCCGTGAAAGGGGGTTTGCTCTAGATCCGCTGTAAGATATTACCAGGGTATTAAAGCAGTAAGGGGTAGAACAGGTGCCATCCACGAAAAGCGCATCCGGCTTCCGTTTGCTACACAGAAACCGGGGTAGGTCCTTGCTGAACAAAGTCTCAAGCCTAAGAAAAGCGTTGAATCAAACCTACCCTCCCATCCTGGCTGCAGAGGCGAATCGCCTGGCCAGGAAGTGACGAAACATCCAACAGAGTTTCCATTGGGCATCCATCCAAACGAGATGGCCTCAGCGATTTGTTTTGAAGGGTGCTACAAACTTCCTGCACGTTGATCACGGCCCCCAAGAGAGCACCCGCTCGCACGGCAGTTCTCCAAAAGCAAATCGCCCGCTTGGCCAGCGTCTAGCCTTTTGTGAATCCTTTTAAATGTTGATTTCAGCAGTTTGGATTCTTTTAGGTGAACCCTTTTGAACATTGATTCCAGCAGTTTAAGTTTGGCTTCTTGAAGTTAATCGCAATGCTCCCTTGGTCAGCTGACGTGAAATCCAAGGCGTGGTTTTGCTGGAGCCTTCGCCGACTGGTGGCCTCATGGCTCGAAGTTTCGAAACGGAAAGCCCGCGTGAATTGGGACGCACAAATAATGGGAACCCCGGATGAATCAACCTTCCCTAAGGGTCCTGATTGATTTTCGGCCCTCCAAATGTGTTGTTTTTGAGGGCCCTTGAAGGGTCGGGGTTCTACATTGCAGGGCCCAGGGGTGTGCATTGGAGGGGTCATGATCCTTAGGGCTGGTCAATTTTGATTAGGTCCCCGTTTAGTGGGGTCACTTTTGGAGGGGAGACACGGAGGGTTCGATTCCCGTGCCCGGCCCCGCTCCGCACTTGCAGATTCCAATCATCTCGTCATATCTCGTCCATATGTTTTGCAACTGGGGAATCTGTCTCATCACCGACTTCCTGGATGTTTGTTCATGCAAACCCCTTCCCCTCAATAACAAACACGATCACGCCCCATATGTATAAATATGACCCGGGGGCATCAATATTTATTGAGACAGGGAAACTAGGTATCGACCAGATTTCCGCTCCTCGTCCAAATGGGCTCCCCCCTTTCCCGCACACGAAAGCTGTCAAATTCACAGCTTTCGAGTTTCGAACTTAAGCAAAGCCATTCAAGGTCGTCTTTCGTTTTTGCGTCTAAAAAGTACAAGGTGCAATTTGAAATTTGAATCACAATAGTTTAAACTAGTAAAAGGAAGTACGCAAAAATCATTTCTACGAATGTGCTGGACAACCCCCGAATATGACTGGCGGTGGGATTGCGAAGTCGGCAGGTTTAGTGTTGGCTTAGAATTGGCCTATTCTAGAAGTAGTATTGGGAACCCGTCGGTCTGGGTCGAACGATATATTTATGAATAGGCCGAATTTGATAGGGGGAAGGGATTATACTTAAAGTCTTAGCAGCATCCTGGGCTGTCTGTTTGCAGATCCGGCTCAAAAGGTGCTTAACTGTTAGTGGGTGAAATGGAAACCCAACCACTAAACCAACTAAAAAGCTTAAAGGCTAAGGCCACTGCGCCCTTGAATTAGAGCGGAGCGGGGGCTGCCTCATCGAAGCACATGGTCGGCAAAGGGGGGGGGAGGGGGGGGGGGAGGGTGAGGCCCACTGCCAGGGGCATCTTATCCCCGAAGGGACCCGATACTTTGTGGTAGTAGAGGATCTTTATTTGGTATGTCTCTGGATCTATTCCGGAGAGTCCAAGTGTTAATGCTGATGGATTGATACTGGATTAGCCCTGGTTGATTGTGTGCTGTGGTTCACCCTGAAGGTGGTCCGCTAGCACCTTTGTATCACGGATGCAAAAGCTCAGTGAGCTATGTACATTTGATGTGTGACATGAAAGGCCTTGAGCCAAAATGATGTGGCATGGAGATCACTGGGTCCGAAAAACAAACACAAAACAGACACAAATATTGCTATTGGCTTCTTGGCCTTGGACCGTAGCCATTCAAATGTGTGCCGTAGCCATATGCGGACCTAAATATCTTGTCAGAATTAAAAATACGGCATTCATCGCTTTTTGGCGCGGATGAAATGTCTTTGTCGGCAAATGGAAAAGAAAACTCTGTACTCATTGCGGGTACCTAATTGTATCAAAAGATGATGCACAATGCGATGCACACGCAGGATCGCTGTGAAACTACAGAATAGTCTTGTTGATGGTGAGGATCAGTTGGTCGGCGTTCGTGGTGCTGTTCTCCGCTGTTCTCTCTTTCGAGCTTCTGAAAGCATCTCATCGCTTCGACGGATGGTTGCTGGTTTCAGATTGGCTGTGCTAGTCATAGTCGTACCAAGTCGAAGAACAACATCCTTTCCACCCAGGTCGATCGTAGCCGTAAGCCTTGTTGTATCGCCAGGAACTTCCCCAAGTCTTCTCCTTCTTTTTCTGATTGCGCCCCTTGGCTCTTTGAGTGTCTCGTTCCTTGCTTTCAGATCGGCTTCGCATGTAGACTATGAGCGGGCTGTGTGAATCGGCGTCACATGGGCCATTCAGGAACATTGAAGCGCTCGGCTGATGCTACCTGGTAATCGGAAATGATTAGCCAGGTCTTGTCCTGCATAGTCTTCTTTTCCTCATCGGTCATGGACTCAATCGCTGTTTATTGTGGATGTCGGTCTTTCCCCATTCAATTACAAATGTAATCATGCAATCCGGGATGTTCGATCACATCCAGAGCCAGTCTTCATATAGAGATGGTGACGAACAACTGCCTTCATAGTGCAAGAGGTAGCCATGGCACAATCCATTTTTTCTTCAATAGGCATCCCCCTTGTCTTGTTCCATGTGTCTTGATGTATCTGCGTGATGTGGTTGATCACTCCATACTTCGGATTGTAGACCCATTGCAATCTGCTGTAAGTGTTGACGGATTCGTTTGCATTGGCAGTGATTGTATCGCATTTGTAAGTCGTAACAAGTGGCATGATTCCATTCTGAAAATCCTCTCTTGCTGCTCCACGAGTGATATTCGGATGGATATGGAAGACTCCAACTGTAGCATATGGAAGTCCGGCTCGAAGAATGTGTCGACTATCGTAGTCCGCATTCGGAGCCGCTGTTGCTTTCGACTATGCTCCTCGGAATTCATTACTTTGGTCGATCTGGATCACCACAATTTCCTTGTTGTGCCCATATGTCTGGATGGCAGTGCGTGGTGGCAATCTCGAGCCGACATAGTCCTTGAGGTTCTCCTTTGTCATGTGAGGTCCGGTCGTTGCCAGGCAGTCGAAGGTTGGCGTGTCATACGCGGGATCTATACAGCCGATCTTGGTCGAGATGTATCTTGCCAAGAGTTCGACTTTGGCGTGCTCATTGCCACGGACAAAACATGCGATGGGTCTTGCAAATCAGGACTTGATCACGATGCCCTTGTATCCTGTGAGGATAAACAAACAGATGAGTTCCTTGCAGATCGAGAAATCCGCTTCGTTGAGGCATATGATGTGAGCACTGTTGTGCAGCAACATTAGTGTGATCGGTCTGTCTCGCATGGGTCCTTTCACATCTCTGCCGTCCAACTTCGGATTCCTCGTGAGGTTCCCATGGTTCATTGTGAGGATGTTGATGGTCATGGAGGAGTGGCAGTCTCGTGCCTGGAAGTTGTCCATCACTGGCCCTTCGGTGGCTTGCATCAAGGATCCGAGTATGTCCG